TTGATGTTATTAAAACTACGATAATATCTTTACTCAGGAAACAATTGGTATTAACTTACATTACTCCACCCTCTGATCGTAAATGCGCCAGTAATGAGGGAACCGCTAAGACACACACGCACATATGTATTTATGTAAGACAATTTGATCATTCCTCGCACTGACTTTGACGATGGAGATAGAGCTAGTCTCTGATACATTGACGCAGCTTATTGTCCTAGGAAAAAAATTTCATTCATGCAACTTTAAATTTGTAAGCCCCAAACTGCAATTGCAATATATGTAATAATTTTACTTTACGTTCGCAGTATGTTACATATTTTGGAGCTCGGTTGTTCTGCAAAACTGTTTGCATTATCACATTAACAACATATTTTCTCAATACTTAAAACTATTGGGTTTGTTACATTTTTCTGTTTAGATTCATTGTTTCAGCACTTTATTGCAGGCTTCGGCATCTGGCTGCCATATTCTTCGTTAATGTTTTTTAAACAAAATTAGTAGCTCCTCAGTATTTTTTAGTGTAGTACCTGCTAGAATAAAATACTCAACATTTATCTTAAATCACAACTTTCATAAGGTCACTCCGTCAGCTAGGTTTGATTCTGCTGCTAATCATGTACACAAGGAAATGTTACGTTTTCAGCAAATATTACATTTCGCTTGTGGACAGTTAATCTCTCTTCTGACTTTTATTTTGTTTTATTGTATTTTTAGTGGATTGTTTGGCTGTTGTCAGGACTCGCCACCACCACTGTTATCATTGTCATTATCATTCTCCAGAATGAGTATGCTTTAACCCTTGTATACCATAGTCGACAGATGTTTATTTAAAATATGCGAGATTTGAGGTTTTTGCTGCGGTGAGGATGGCAGTGTTGATCTGGATTTTGGCGCCGTGTAGACTCGTCAGTAAATGCCACCGTTTTGGAGAAACATACTGTCTTGTCTTCTGCCCTGAAGATGCAGACATACCGACGAATCTACACGGCGCCAACATCCAGAAGATCAACATAATGTATTTAAAACATATTTATATGAATGTTTGCATTTCAGTCAAAATATTAGTTTTATGCACTTCTAATTTCATTCGTGCAAGCTACATGTTCCGCCCATCACTTTTTATGTTATTTAATCAATGCAATAATATTATGCCTTATAATTTTTCTGAGAGCTATGTGTGGATTGTTATTAAGTGTAATTTTCTTGTAACTGGCTGAAATGAACCGGGCATTGACGTGGTCTAAAGAAAACTAACTGGTTGTGTAGGTATGGTTTGTCTTGTCAGCTTGTCATATGCTTGAGCTGATATGAATATCTTTCAAGGCGCCACGTAGTTATTTGGTTGCAATTTGCGTTGAATATTTTGATTCTAGTAACTGGAAGCAGCAGTTGGATAGAGAGAAGTTATATACTGAAGTGCATAATATGTATTCTTCAGCTAATTTTGTTGCGCTGATTATATCAGGGTTATGAGATGGGTGGAACTTGTAGCTTGCATGCAGTTGAATGAGAACAACTCACCTAAGAGCTGGATACATTTGGGAAATGTCTGTACCCATTCAATTCAGAACTTCTTATCATCGGCTGCCCCATTTTAGAATCTCTAACCTGACCAGGCCTTTCTGTAAGGGAAAAACGTAGATTGAGGACGTGAACAGATTATGCAAGAATGTTTGGGCATTAATCGTAATGTTATTCTTCCGTCTCCCCTGTTGCCCAGGTGGTCTCTGTCTCAGGTTTTCGTATCAACATTCTGTATAACTTGGTAGCAAGCCACTATCTAACCGCACCATTCAATTGGCGTACTGTTTGAAATTCGCTCGTTGCCCTACTAAATTTTTATAGTCCGATAAAGGCCAATTACCTGAATTTCTTATATCATACTAGCTACATGTCCATCACGTAGTAGACTCCAAGATTTCGTTATTCTAATAATTGAATTACTAAATCTTGTGTCCGAAGCCCCATTATCAGAGGAAGGAAAATGGGGTTTAATGGACGATTATGTTCCGGGGTTTGGCACCGTGTAGACTCGATGCCATAACCCAGATTATCGTCATCCTCGCCACCGTGAGAACCTCATATCTCACAGGGGTATAATAGAGTACGATGTTTGCTGTTTAATTACGTGATTTTTAGTAATTGCAAATATTATAATTATATAGGCATATATTTCGTATACTGAATGATTTTAATATAGAATAATATAATGAAAACCTATATTTTAAACTAGTCTATCTCCTCAACGAACAGTTTCTGAAGATGTCTGTCTTCTGAGTTGTTGCGCCATGGGTCAGATCTCCCTAATGATAGAGCAGAAAGGACCTCTGAAACGTCGGTAAACTTCTACCAGACTACACGGCGCAACAATCCAAAAGACAGCCAGCTTCAGACTCACAGGCGTGAAAACCCCAAATCCGACTTCGAGCCGTTTCTGATAAACAAATGAAACATCAGAGGGTAAAGACCGAAATGAACGTTTGAAACGAAAGTTCATATTTTATAGTTAAAGCAATAGTGAAAGCTATGTAAATTGCATTACAGTACGCTCCCTCTCTCCCTCCCTCCCTCTCTCTCTCTTTTTTGTAAAAGTTATTCGAAACAGCCATGGCATTCAGTATGTCAAAGTGCAAAGATCTCATAAAATTTCGTGTATTCTGGTACAGATTACACATATCAGATAATCTATTCATCTGCTAGAAAGATATTTCTCCTGAACAGGTTGCGATCTTGACTCATAACGGTTTCATTTTGTATACCTTGGGAGAGCCAACTGAATCTTTTCCATGATTATTTTGTGTTCTGATGCGAAAGAAGTCCATGATGTTGCTGTTTACAAGTATGGGAGTGCTTTATTTCTTCATGCAGGTTAACACGACCATCAAGATATTCAAGCGTTATAAGCTTTTACACTTTTGCTCATTTCTTCTGAGGCATCTTATCAAGCAATACTGGATACACATCGCTGGCTGCAAGACTCGTCATGCTACGAAACCCACATAGTCGCATAGTTGTAGGTTTCAAGGATACTAAATTATTGAATTGCTACCAAAGTCAATAAAGACATGAGTGATCGCAGAAGGAAAAGTTGTAAAATGGCAAACTGCTCTGAACTTAATAAGCACCACGACGCATACCTTAAACTCGGAAGTAAATGGAGGGAGGTGAGTTGTCAGCTTCACGGTCCGGATGCTTTACCCTTAGTACCCATTGCATGTGGCTTGGTGTGCCCCAGAATCGATTTGAGTACAGTGGTGAAGGGAAAGAAATGACCTATCGCTAGCGGGAATCGACCCTCGGCCATACTGACTGAGCTATCTCGGCTCAGGCAACAGCAGCAACTGTTGTTGCCAAATTGAATGCTTTACGATCACATGGAAATCGTACAACGTTGCAACACGAACACCGGAGTCCAGGAAAGTGAAAGCCTCGGAACTCGCAGCGTAGCTGTAATGGTGACTTGGTGCAGCACGTAAATGTGGGGGGCGGGGCGAAGTTCTTCCGTGGTTTCGAAGCATTTCATTTGGCGACTGCTACTGTAGCTTCATGATCATTGTGTTGTTCATCTAGGTTATTGACTATGAAAGGTACCATTTGTTAACAGTTCTTTAGATTTCTATCCGACGGGTATGAATCTAATCTTATTGGTAGTTGTAAGATTTGAGGTTTTCACAGCGGTGAGTATGTAGATTTCTGGGTTGTTGCGCTGTGTAGATCGCCCCGATGACGGAGGCAGTATGACCTCTGAAACGTTGGCTAACATCGACCAGTCTACACAGCGCAACAACCCAGAAGACAGAAATATTCTTATTGGTTGTTTATTAAAGGTAGGACATCTTGCACAAAATGTCTTGCGTTTGTTTCGTGTTTTACTATCAGTAAATTGGTATCCCGAAATTTATGTAGTGGTAAGTTACGTACTGTATCAGTTGTAGGTCTAAAAGTCGTTCTGGACCTTACGAATACGAAGCTTAAATGCACGGCGGCGTTCTGTTGGTGTCGGTGCGATCAGGTGTTTGCTCAATCTTAATTTTGTAATAGTCAGCAAAATAACGGTCGTCCCGAATACCGGTATACGAAAACAAATCACCAATTGGTGTTTTGATACATTGTAACAAGACATGTAATAATAGGAATAATATCGAATAGAACAGCATTATGTATTTATTTATGTACTTGGGTATAATAACGACGCTGATGGTACCTCAGATTATATAGAATCAGATAATAGGATAATAAATTAATGAGTTAGAAAGGATTGGAAAGAAGCAGTCGTTACCTAATTTAAATTATTGTCTTGGTATTTTGCTGAAGGAACTGAGGAAAATATAAAAACTCTGGATATTCAGTCTTCCAGTCGAGATTTTTACCTGGGACCCCCCGAATACAAAGCAGGAGTACACCACGCGGCCGCCACATTCGGTTGAATTTAAATTGTATATCGCTCATCACACTATGGCAGAGGTTTCAAAAGTGTGCCCCCCCCCCCTGGGGGGCGTGTTGTTTGTATGAAAAACATTTTTAATGAAATATGGAGAAACATTTTTAACATCCTTCGCTTGATTGAGGCAGTTCAGCAGTGGCAGCCATCACAACAAAGTATCGTTCATTTCAAAACTCCAACCTTGGTATGATAAGTTATGTTCACAGAAGCAACCGCATCCATCCCACTAATCCAGGTATGCAGCGTATATTTTATTACAGCTTTTTAAATTGAATGCATTGAATAATATATACTAAATTGTAAAAAAAAGTGTATACTCATAACTAAATTTTATGTCAAATCTGTTTGCTTGCACTTGTTCTGGAAGGGGGCGTGAAATTTATGAAATATTTTAAGGGGGGCGCAAGGTATAAAAGTTTGGGAGCCCCTGCACTATGGTGACAAAATTGCCTTTCCACAGTATGAAAGTAAAGTTGTCAAAAATGATGTGAAGTAATGAATTCGAATACTTATGTAGCATATTAAAACGACTGCAAGAAATTTTTGTTTTTTGTTCGTAACATTTTTCAAATGCGTAATTTTACATTTACATGCCTAATTTACCTTAATATTTGTTTAATACTAATGAATACTGATTTAATCTCGTTGCAAGTCATTAGTGTATGGAGTCTGAGAATGTTCCTTGCATTTCATTAAATGTGTGCCATGTCGATAAATATTTAAAATAAAAGTTGTAGATCTCAGTGGAGTCTATAATTTACGCCATGTACCACATTTTTCTGAGGTTCATGTGAAGTAGAAATTCTATTGGACCAATTCGTATCAAAATTAAACTTACCCGACAAATTTTATTGTAGAGGCCATTACCAAATGTAATCGAAATCCGTCCTGCAATTTAAGAGAACTGATAGACATCTGCGCAGTATGCATTTCGTATAACAGCATGTTAATTAACTTATCAAATGGCAGTAAAGTTCAGTAATTTATGTAAGTAGTTACAGTATGGCGTAAATAAATATAGCACGTTACAAACAGCAGCTGAAATCCGTAACTTGTTAATCTACTGTTTGAAGCATATAATATATTTGTCAGAGCTTTTGTGAACACGGTAATGAACCTTGGTGTTCTATTAAAGGTGGGATATTTCTTGACTAGCCAAGCGACTATTAGCGTATTAGAGTAAGTTTGATTATGAAATCAGCGTGTCGGAATAATTAATAATAATAATTAATAACATTAAATCTATCATAGTATTGCCGCAAAAATCTTTCTTTGTGAGTTATTTGCAACATTTTTTCTTTGAAATTTCTTTCAGCGCCAGTGAAATTAGTGAATATATGTGATTGATGACTCATGAACTTGGACGCACCTGGCAACTTGCCAGTCCACCGTTGGGTCAATGACCGTGAAATACATGTGTTTTGCAAGAGCTTTGTACTTATCAGTATGCTTTTAGTGCGTGGGAAGAACAGATGACTCCACTGTACTCCAGCCCACTGTTACATCTACTCCGAACATAAACGTTTGTGCCGTGCCCAGAGATCAATGCTAACGGCGGAATACAGTCTTCACTGAGTTAATGTGGAACATCCATCGTTTCGTCAGAAAATAACATCGTTCGTTCACTGCAGTCAGTGTAACTATAAAGCTGGGCGTGATACAAACTGTTATCTTGCGGATGCAAATGTAGATCGTTACCACCAGTACACCAACATGTTTGGTGTCCCTCTTTATAGTGCAAGTTATCTTATCTGAGTAGCTTCTGATTTTAAACACTTTTTGGAAGAATTCATGAATGCTTCCTTCTGGTAATTGCTCCATATTTGTAGAGCGTAGCGGAAATTATCAGTTTTAATTTATGGTTTCGATAGTCCTGACAACTGCTCATGTTCGAAGGCATTGATTAGGCAGAAGACTGGGTTCGATACCCATTCGGGCTACAGATATTTGTCCCCTCCATTTTTTAGATTTGTCTTTCGATATTTTATTGATCAGGCTGATTGTGGAGTCTTCTGGGTTTTGCATCGTGTCAAAGTTCGACATTTCTGAGGAACTTCCTACCCCGTTTTTAGGATGTTATTCAACGACGCCATTTTAATCAAATGGGTGATATGGTATTGAATGATTTTGGAAAGTCTTGCATGATGTGAGGTAAGAATTAAGAATTTGGAAGGTGGTGGTCATTCCATTTTTTTGGTACTGTATCATATTCCTAGGAGAGAATGAGGGAACCCCTCAGTCAGGGTAGCCAGTAACCAACCTGACAGTTAAATTATCTCCAGAACACAGGTCCAGAGTATTGTCTTCTAAGGGACTGATTCTGTTCTGTGGAGATGTACAGTGCATCTAAAACATTTGTACATTGTTCAGTCATTACAGGCCAAAGTACCTAACCTATGGAAGTGGGTAGTTTATACAGCATTTATACCTTAAATAGTGTAATGTTTGTAACATTTTGGACATTTGTTCTTGAGACATTTTTATATTATTTGCATTGTAATGTGCACATTTTATTCTTCAGGTATTTAAACACAGTGAACTCTACACACATCATTTGTGTACTTGGACTTTTTTCATTGGCTATTCCTGCATTTGGACATTTTTAAATTGGCCATTCAGACTTTACACCGACCATTATCTGCTTGCTTTCAGCATTGTCTTTGACATATCATAACCTCAGCAGTCGATTAATTTTTTGTTGCTAACACCTTGGAGATCAATTAATGAGTCAAGCTACCAATAAATCAGTTGTAGATATCAGCATTGTGAGAAGAATCTAATATGATGCAATGTTTCATGTATAGTTTTAATAAAATTGCATGCTAATATCAGAAATTAATCTGTTTTTTATCTACGGGAAAGCCTTTTGCATACGTCTGTACACATCTCACTATCTTTCACCCAACACTTACTTATTTCTATAGCACCATGGTGCTAATCTGTGTAACTTACAAGATTTGAGGTTCTTATGGCATTGAAGATGTCATTGTTGTTCTTCTGGCCTGTAACGCAATATTCACTTACAGAAATAAACATTTTGGTGGAACATACTTCAAGGTAACCACTGCAGGTCCAAATGACATTACAACCCAGAATACCAGCATTGACATGCATATATATGTTCCTAACATGTGCAGATTACTTTTGTTTCAGATATTAAAATATTAGCATACTTCTCCATCATCCCTTGGTTCCATATAAAATGGAGTATTAGACTCTGCGTCATAGGATCTTGGGTTTAAAGACAGAAAGTGCATTGAAATTGTGAAGCAAGTCCCCAACACTCCCCTCTCACTCATATACCTTGTTTCCAATGTTCTGTTTGTCTTAAAGACAATGTTTTCATGTGTGTGTGTGTGTGTGCAGATTTTTGAACATTAAGCTTACTGTAACATAATGTCCTTGCATCCTAACTAATAACTTCCTGGTTAATTTTAAAGAAATTGTGTATAAACATCATGCCTGTGGAGTCCACCCAAGCAGTGTACTTTTTAATTTTCTCCCATAAATAAAATGAATGTGGCAGCTACATGGAACCAAAATTTGTGTTTCCATTTGACAGAGACAATAAACAGTTTCAGCAAGGAATGTGAAATTTGGTGTGGAGATACGTCATAAACACAGCATGTACAGATATTGTGAGTTTTGTGCATTAACATTTACAAACATGTAATGGTATTAATTTTTTAAACTGTGTCTGAAAACTTTAAAGTAGTGTTAATCTGTAGTAGTGGAAATTATACCTGAAGTGGATCACTAAATTATGTACTCATTAATGTGTCTTTGTTACTTTTGTTTATTGATTTAAGCATTTGAAGGAAAGTAAGCATCAGAAGTTCTTCCCAGAAAATATTTTGTTTTTACCAAGAGAAGTGAGTCATTATGCTGTATTTGTTTAGAAGAAATGGTGATATCACTTTTAAAATTTAAATATTTATCTGAAAGTTCCAATTATTTCTTCATGTCATTTGTGGAAGTGTTTCACTTCTTCAGTAAAAAAGAATCTAATAAGCCTGTAGCATATGATGTCTGCATTGGCCAACATTTTGGCCTACAGAAAGATATTACAACTGACTTCATCTTAATTTGTAATTATGCTTGTATTAACCAGAATTTGGCGTGATCCCCACCTGATATTTCAAACCATTCATATAATCTGGTAATGATGTTTCATTTCCCTCTTCATGGTTTTCATACCATAACAATCATTGTTACACTAAACTAGCTGTGTGCCCAGAGTGTTACTGCCAGGAAATTTGAGAAATGTTGCATTTCCTTATAAATCTTTCTCATCCCAAAGCTTATTTATAGGCTTGTTGTTGAATATCATTGTAAAAATATGATCCCTAAACCCAAAGTACAATAACTTAATCCCAGGACACTTTGTTCAGGATTGTGGTATTTGTTCCTGCAGTTTCCTTCTTGAAACAAACAATGCCATTCTTATCTTACTTCTTCTGCCACCATTATTTTCCAAAGTGCTGAAAACTTCTTCATCAGGACTCAAACCCAGGTCAATTTTTTGGGGTTGTGGCCTTTGACCATGCAATCTCTTCTAAACAACTTTTGCCTTGGTGCTGTACTTATATCATGCTTAGTTTCTGATCTACAGAAACCATCGTCATCAGAATTTGAACCCTGGACAGTTTTTTGGAGTTATGATGTTTGTTTCTGTAATCTCCTCTTCAAAACAAATAACGTTGGTCTTGGCACTGTTTTCTGTTGTTCTTAGTTTCCAAGCTACAGGGACTGCCCTCACTGGGACTTGAACTCAGGGCACTTTTCAGGAGTTCTGACCTATCTGAAATCTCTTGCTGGTCTCAAAGAATGAGTTTGCCAAGTTAGGTACAGTTACGTTTATCCATTCTTGAGCTATGACTAAACCTACACATCCACACCCATTATTTCAGTTTTATGTAGAAGATGAATTTCAAGTTCTGAAACACAGTCACTGTGGAACACTGTAATACATTGTATATTCATTTTTTATAGCAACATCTGACTCCATTCTTTGGTACATCTAAAAGTAAAAATAATGTGGAAGAATGCCAACTGACAAGAATTATTTGCTGATTGTGGATGGCTGAAGGATAGTAGCATTGTATTGGCACATAAAAATAAATCACAATCTTTAATGTATCTCTCTGTTTTCTCAGAAATGTTGGCATGTGTTTAAAATAGCAGTTTGTTAAGACATACTCCTACAAAATAAACTTCAGCGAAAATAAAATACATTTGGTTTGTTCATGAGTTATTTAGTGATATTTGATCAACTGTAGAGGTTGTGTGATATTGATCAAGAAATTTATAAACATATGGGAATACAAACTTCATTAAATTTTAAAACATACATTTTTTATAATCACAAAACTGTCAAGAAATTGGGCCATTTGTAATCCTGTAGGAAGTGATAGATGTTAAACTAAATATCTTACACATTACTAAATTTGATGCCTGTTTTCGGTTTAAGTTTGACTATATAAGAACTGAAGATGGCTGTCTTCTGGGTTGTAGCACTATGTAGTCTGGTAGAAGTTTACTGGTATTTCAGAGATAGTTGCTGCTTCCAACATCAGGGGTATAGGTAATTGCCCTCAAGCACCTCAGAAATGTCAGTAAATTTCTGCCAGACTACACAGCACTACAACCCAAAAGACAGCCATCTTTGTTTTTTCTGCCATGTGAACCTCGAGTGATACTATATAAGAATTATATTAATGCATGTTTTAAAAATAATTTTCTTCTGTTTTAGGTCATGGTAAAACACACAAAGATGCTGCCAGTGTTAGAGCTACTCATCCCATCCCAGCTGCCTGTGGTCTTTATTATTTTGAAGTGAAGATAGTCAGCAAGGGGAGAGATGGCTACATGGGTATTGGACTCAGTGCTCAAGGAGTCAACATGAACAGGCTTCCAGGTAATAATAACTATACATGCAGTGCTTTTTTATATAAGAGAAAGGCGCAGGTGACAAGGCGCAAGGAAATGTAATGGATGTCTTTTGACAGATATAATATAATCAATAATTAATTAAAATTGAAAATTTGAATTACAGAGTTTGTTGTCTTATCAACATTAATTTTTCCTAATTATTATTGCCATGCTTATTTATATTAATGTCTTCTTCTTCTATGGCTCTCCGGTCCGTATTCGGTCCATGGCCTTCTCCTCTTCCATTCGGTCCTTCTGTTAGGTCCGTCTGTCCGAGGTTGAGGTTTTGAAACTTCTTCCTTTTTACGGTGCAAGGTTGTTAGCCTTGCGACCAACCCCCAACCTGGAGGACCAGGATACCTGTCTTAGTCTGACCTCTCCCCCTCGACCAATCTGGCTAGGGAGGCCCTACCAGTAGCTATGCTACTGCCAGCATAGCTCTTGGGATCACTGAGGTACTCAATCCCCACCACCATGACAAGGTGCAGGTACCATTAAGTGGGGTTATGTTAATGTGTCTTATCATATAATCTGCCAGTATAATATACCATTTTATACCATTAGATAAAAGCTCAGCATACTTGTATTACAAACAGGAGATATAGTAATCTATAGGCTATATCTTATGTATATGGTATTAGAAGATAAGCCAGTAATGATGTTAACAGCATACACAAAGAAGAAGAATCTGTTTCTTTTCATGGCTGATTTTATCATCTTGTGATGGGTTCAAAAGTGTAATTTCAATGTTGGTACACAGGGCATAGGGCATCTCAGATAGGGCAAACCTCCAAAATACAGAAATACATCTTGGATACATCTACAAGAGAAATGGGTGTTCATCAAGGAAAGTTTACAGAGTATTTCATTTCAGAAAGGGATCTAACAAAGAATAGGAAAGACGGAAGCATAATCAAGAGCGTTGTCTTGTCTAATTGTATCAGTCAAATTCTGGTCTTTTATGATATATAATCTGTCTCCATCTACCTAAAGACATGCAGCCACCTGGATTTTCTCATGGAGAGTCTGGGGCTGGAAACTGCATCTGCAGAGTTCATGCAAGTATAAATAAAGCTGTCTGCATTGCCCAGATGAGACATCGTGTTGAAGGCGATACTAAGGGACATTATAGACACCTCCAGTTGAAACATCTAGAGCAGTCGCTAGTGGCTGAAGATGCTATACAACATGGTAACCATATATACTTTGAGACCACCATCAACTACAAACTGCTTCAGGCCAGCAAAATGAGTTCAAGCTACACTAAAACTTCAGTAGTGAAGGAGTTTACTTGCTTAGTCTAGCCTCGAAGGCAATACAGATACTGTACTAATAGAGAGAGTACCACAGATTACTAAACCATCAAACACTTCTTTGGTTTGATCTTCTGGAAATAGATTCTGCTTCTTAATATTAAACTATGAATTTTTTTTGATTACTTTCTTTACCATGTTTGAAGTGTGTAAGTCACATTTTTTCCATCACGAGTGTTACCTAAAATCACGAATCTTTTATATGGAAGTTTTGTGAAGACAGTTTAGTGAATATATACTACTGAATTCATGGCATGTATTACAGAATACCCAAGAAAATATAGTAGTTTTATGTTTTAGAACTAAAATAACTTATTTCTTCATATGTTACTGGATCTGATTAAAATAATGAATGCTGTGGTTCAGCAAATGCACCTATATAATGAGCTGTGATGAGTAAAAATTTGTGGATTTTAAGTATTATTATATGCTGTATGCATTACATGTATATTTTGTTTTCTAGTAAAACATTCTGGCATTTGATGACTGGTACTTTTGGCTGATATATTAAACTAACATTTGTTGACCTCTTGATGAACACCCATTATCATCGTCTGTTTTGTTGAAGTTCTGTGTGCCTTTATATTAATATATTCATCTTATATTTTAAGTGGAACGAGTAATACTAATAATTTTTTTTCCTTCTTAGGTTGGGACAAACATTCATATGGCTACCATGGTGATGATGGTCATTCATTTTGTTCTTCTGGAACAGGCCAGCCGTATGGACCAACATTCACAACAGGCGATGTTATAGGCTGTGGAGTTAATCTTATTGACAATACTTGTTTCTATACAAAGAATGGACATAACTTGGGAATAGCATTTACAGATTTACCTGTGAGTATATTTAATTGACAGCAGACCAGCACAAAACTAGGATGAACACATACACAGTATGGAAATGTAATTGCAAACTGAAAATTTATCACATATAAAGAAAAGCACAATCTTAAATGAAATCACCAAGAATGGACACAGCATTTGAAGCTGTGACATCATGTAACATTAAATGCAAATTTATCATAGCATTGCATACTGAATAGATTGCAGAACATCTTATCATGAATGTGTTCATAATCATTAATTATCATAAATAATTTAAATACAGAGCAAACCAGAATTCAGAATTTTCATTTGTACTGTTACTAGATTTTTAGAATAGAATACGGTGTGTCCACAAAGTCTATTTGGGGTTTTGAAAAATTGTGGCACGCAAACAAATTGAGCTAACCACATGCGGTTTGTGATGAGCCAGGATAGCTCAGTCAGTATAGTGACTAGCTACGGGCTGGACGACCGGGATTCGATCCCCGGTGGGGGCAGAGGATTTTTCCTCTAGCCGATGCGTCCAGACCGGCTGGGGGGGCCACCCC